GGTTTGACAATTTCAAGCGTCGATTCAGCCTGAAGAATGTGAAGATGACTGGGGAGGGTGCGTCAGCAGACACCATGGCCGCGAAAGCTTTCCCAGCAGAGTTGAAAGCAATACTCAAGAAGCAGGGATACAAGCCAGAGCAAGTTTGGAATATGGATGAAACAGGTAAGACAATAAATTACTACTGTACATTTAACCTTAAAATGCTCAAATACCTGTTGTACTGTACGTACTGTATTGTGTTGTAAGAGAAAACGGGATAAATGGGTCTGAATTTTACACAGTAACTTTTCTATTTTTATTCCGTAGTGACTTACCATACAGTGTGATGTAATATTTTTATATTTTTATACCGTATACAGTATGTATAATAGTACAGGGTGTACTATTTTCTTTTCCAACAGGTTTGTTCTGGAAAAAGATGCCACAGCGCACTTTCATCACCCAAGAAGAACGCCGTGCACCAGGATTCAAGGCAGCCAAGGACAGGTGCACCGTGCTATTTTGTGGCAATGCTGCGGGTCACCTCATTCGCCCAGGCTTTATATACAAATCTAAGAAACCGCGTGCATTCCAACGCCGAGGCATGAGCTTGCTGCCTGTTTTCTGGATGTACAATATGAAGGCCTGGACAACGAGCGACCTGTTTCTCAACTGGTTCCACCATTGTTTCCTGCCAGAGGTTGAACATCACCTGCACCAGAAAGGATTTGAGTTCAAGATCCTGCTAATCCTCGACAATGCTCCCGGTCATTCACAGTCAGTGGAGGTGTTGCATGAAAAGGTATAGGTGTTGTTCCTTCCACCCAACACCACTGCACTTATCCAGCCAATGGACCAGGGAGTTATCAAGACGTTTAAGGCTAACTACAGTAAACGTGTGATGGCCAGACTGCACTCAGCCTTAGACCATGACCAAAACCTGGATGTGATTCAGTACTGGAAGAGCTTCAACATTGCCAACTGCGCATCTGTGGTGGCTGAATCGTTCAAAGATGTGAAGCCTCAGACAGTGAATGCCTGCTGGAAATCACTGTGGCCTGAATGTGTGAAAGATTTCACTGGATTTTCTCCTGACGAAGCCATTGCAGAGGCGGTGAGAAAGACCCTGGCACTGTCAAGGAAAGTGGCTGCTGAAGGCTTCCAGGACATGGCAGAGGACGAGATTAGGGAGCTAATTGAAGAGCACGACACTGAGCTGAATGAGGAGGATCTACAGGAGTTAGTAGACTCAGGCAAGGAAGAGGAAGCGCAAGGGAAAGAGGATGAGGAAGAGGAAGAGCAACAAGAAATAATGCTGGAGAAGTTGGGGGAGATGACCAGGAATATTGAGGCACTGAAAAATATGGCCTATAGTATGGACCCCTCCATGGTGCGTGCCCTGAAATTCATGCGAGGGATGGATGACGTTTTTGCTCCATACAAAAACATCATGGAATAAATGAAAAGAAGAGACGACAACTCCCCATCACCATGTTCTTTGATCGCCGAAGGAGAGATTTAACACCATCAATCACTGGCGGCAGTGAGGAAACAGCTGAATCCACCGTCGCCCCCACTTCACCACCCGTTATGGAATTGAGTGACGATGAGCCCGATGACCCCCGTCCTGTCGCCGAGGATAGGTACGGTACAGTAAAGTGAAATTTTTATCTCTTTTTTTTAATAGCTTTTCTTGCCATGTTTATTGTTTGTAAAAATGCACAGCACACTACAGTTCAGTATTGTACATAGGAAGTGGAGGTGCAGTTATTCACAAAACATTTGTGTTTGTTGTCGGCAGTAGTGACGATGTGGAGGCGGAGGGATAGAGCAGGGAGGAGTGGTGACGCTGGAGGCTGGAGCAGGGACCAGTGGAGATGCCTGCCAGTACATTACAGGTGTACAGTATTAATTGTTTTTATAGCTCTTTTTGCATTTTTATATTAAATACTGTACATTACCTTTCAACAAAACTACTATTTATTTCTGAGAATATGGAAATGTAATATTTTTGCTGAAATGACGTACGTATTACAGTGGGAAGTGGGATAAAATTGTGACGAAAGCAATGACTTTCGCTTTCTTTCGTTCAAAAGATGTTACCGTAATCGCTTTTCGAATGGTTTTCAGTTGTGGGATTATGAGGCTAATGATAGGATAGAATATTATTGTAATACAGTACAGTACAACAGTTTTTTAACTGAAAACCATTCGAAAAGCAATTACGGTAAAATCTTTTGAACAACGAAAGAAAGCGAAAGTCATTGTTTTCGTCATGATTTTATCCCACTTTCCACAGTAATACGTACGTCATTTCAACCAAATTATTACATTAACATATTCATTTCTGAGAATATATTCGTTCAGTCACAGTTAAAGTAAAATATACTTGTGATGTAATATTTTAATGAAAATACGGTATCATAGTTTTCTTTTGTTTCAAATTTAATTAACAAAGATTTCAAATGTAAGGAACAAAAATTTATGTAGAGTATCTATAAATAAACTTTAATAAATGAATACTTTGTTTTACATCGTCCTGTGCTACCATACCATGGATTTGGCTACTTTGGGCTTGCTATGATAACGCAAGAGATCTGCCCTGGTAGCTGTACCGACACTTACAGCTGGTGGTGCGTTGGTGCATCGTTTCCATTGTTTACTGGTAGTTACTGGTAAATATTTTTCAACCTAACAAAACTATTACCCGTTTAGAGGTCGACCCCTATTTTTTGCCAAATAATTTGGTCTTAAAAACTTGAATTACACACAGGTATATATGGTAAATAAGGACATGGGGGCCAGGGTTTTTTAGGGGCAGCAAAAGTACACGGATTTTTAACATTCCCGGGTATCTGTTACCTAACCTCCGCGTATGTTAAGGGCCGACTGTAATGGGAAAATTTTCTCAGAATTTTCCAGAAAAAATTTGCCCCTTGGTAAATCATTCTCAGAGCCAGAATTTTCAGAAAATTCCAGCTTTGGGAATGAGTTTTCCAAGCAAATTTCAATTCCGGCTATCGGAGAGTTCTGGGTTTGAGGGATTCCGGCTAACGAAGATATTACTGTGTTATATTACAGTTAGTTAATTAACTATTTTCAGTCATACTTTGCATATTGTAACTTAACTAATTCTGGGATGTATGATATTTGAATTAGCTGCATAACTTGTCTTGTACAGTACGGTACAATACAACACACAGTCACTACAGGTATATAATATGCTATACTTAAAACAATACCATACAATGGGAAGCTCAGTACTGTTGGGGATGACTCCAAGTGTCACAAATAATATTTGTATACGTTTTTTCTGAGAATCCCCCACCCAGGCACAGGTCATCGACCCACAATAGGGCCAAGGGGAGGGGGGAGGTGGGAGGGATAACAGTAAAATGAAATTAAAAATAGAAAAGAAAATTATATTAATCTACACCACGAAGATGCTGGAAGACCATCATTTTAAAGTGAGACATTGTATGAGTATGGAAACACAGAAGAAGGCAGAGCATTCCACAGTTTGGCTGTGTGAGGAAAGAAGGAGGTACTATAACGGGTTATTCTCGTGTGACTGACATCCACAGAGAAACAGTGGGCACCGCGGGCAAGACGTGTGTTACGAACCCACGGCGTTGTCGGCGGTACACAGGAGGCCAAATCCACCGAACATTGCCCGTTAAAGTACCTGTAAAAGAGAGAGAGTGAAGCAACATTGCGGCGAAGAGAAAGGGAAGAGAGATTGTCAACTAAAGGAGGAGAGTAAATAAGATGAAATGCCTTTGATTCCACCCTATCTAACAGTTGGACAGAAGAAGAGCCACCCCAGATATGACAGCAGTACTCCAAGTTAGGACGAATGAATCCCTTATATACTTGAAGCAACTGCTCAGGAGTGAAGTAGCTACGGCATCTGTACAGCAATTCCAGCTTTCGGGAGGCAGCTTTAGCAATGTTGAGGATGTGTGGCTTCCATGACATATTATTGGAAATGGCGAGGCCTAGCATATCTATTTTAAAATTTGCCAGAATGATTGCGGTCTGAAATGTAATAAGTGGGGTTCAAAAATCGGCCACAATGGGTTCAGGTCTACCAAGCAAGTCACTCACAAGACCAAGTTGTGGTGGAAGTGTGTTAAAAGATCCAGTGGTCGCTGTCATGAGCACAAACTTAGGTTCATTACTTGTACAAATATACCTATACTGAAGTGTAGTGTGAGGGCCGCCTGGTGTAGTGTGAGGGCCGCCTGGTGTAGTGTGTGAGGGCCGCCTGGTGTAGTGTGTGAGGGCCACCTGGTGTAGTGTGTGAGGGCCGCCTGGTGCAGTGTGAGAGGCCACCTGGTGCAGTGAGAGGGGCCTGGTGGTGTGAGGGCCGCCTGGTGTAGTGAGGCCGCCTGTAGTGTGAGAGGGCCGCCTGGTGTAGGTGTGAGGGCTGCCTGGTGTAGTGGAGGGCCTGGTGTAGTGTGAGAGGGCCGCCTAGTGTAGTGTGAGGCCGCCTGGTGTATGTGGGGCCGCCTGGTGTAGTGTGAGAGGGCCTGGTGTAGTGTGAGGGGCCGCCTGGTGTGAGAGGGCCGCCTGGTGTGGTGTGGTGAGGGCCGCCTGGTGCAGTGTGAGGGCCGCCTGGTGCAGTGTGAGGCCGCCTGGTGTAGTGTGTGAGGGCCCTGGTAGTGTGAGGGGCCTGGTGTAGTGTGTGAGAGGGCTGGTGTAGTGAGGCCGCCTGGTGTAGTGTGAGAGGGCCGCCTGGTGTAGTGTGAGAGGGCCGCCTGGTGTAGTGTGGTGAGGGCCTGCCTGTGCCTGGTGTAGTGTGAGGGCCGCCTGGTGTAGTGTGAGGGCCGCCTGGTGTAGTGTGAGAGGGCCGCCTGGTGTAGTGTGAGGGCCGCCTGGTGTAGTGTGAGAGGGCCGCCTGGTGTAGTGTGAGGGCCGCCTGGTGTAGTGTGAGGGCCGCCTGGTGTGAAGGATTATTCCTGTGATCACAAGACCTGGTAGTAATTATGAGGCCAAGTTAACGTCTCATGTCTTACCTTTGTCCCGTTTGTTTCGCTGTGGAGAACTTCTTCCATCCCGTCCTGTAATGACACGAGTTACGTTAGTTAAGGCTAAGAGGCCACAGGAGTGATATCCAGACAATATTAATGAATTACAAGAGCAATGAGCAGAGAAACGCCTACCATCATGGCTGCAACACTATAAGTGAAGAGACAAGTGTCAAGAGAAGGATCAGCGACAACTATGTACCAGACAAACACCTTTAGTGGTCTGTTAAACACTATTAGATCCTCCTCTCTCTTGTCCGGTGATTCTCTTATAAAGGATCAAGAGGCGTAAACAAACGGTGGTCAGTTATTTTCACCTGATACAATCAACAAGTATTGTTAATTGATCTTCGTTATCTCTCTACTGCCTTGTGTTAATGTCTGACAGTCATTAGAACTAACAGTTGTGTAAATGTTTAAGAGACGAAACAAACTAAACATGAATGAAACATAAAATAGTTGGTGAAAATAACACCGAGAGTAAACACTGCAAGGCTCCCCTGACAGGTGAGTCTTAACCATTGAAACACTGCAAGGCTCCCCTGACAGGTGAGTCTTAACCATTGAAACACTGCAAGGCTCCCCTGACAGGTGAGTCTTAACCATTGAAACACTGCAAGGCTCCCCTGACAGGTGAGTCTTAACCATTGAAACACTGCGAGGCTCCCCTGACAGGTGAGTCTTAACCATTGAAACACTGCGAGGCTCCCCTGACAGGTGAGTCTTAACCATTGAAACACTGCAAGGCTCCCCTGACAGGTGAGTCTTAACCATTGAAACACTGCGAAGGCTCCCCTGACAGGTGAGTCTTAACCATTGAAACACTGCAAGGCTCCCCTGACAGGTGAGTCTTAACCATTGAAACACTGCAAGGCTCCCCTGACAGGTGAGTCTTAACCATTGAAACCTGGCCCCCTGACAGGTGAGTCTTAACCATTGAAACACTGCAAGGCTCCCTGACAGGTGAGTCTTAACCATTGAAACACAAGGCTCCCCTGACAGGTGAGTCTTAACCATTGAAACAGGCTCCTGACAGGTGAGTCTTAACCATTGAAACACTGCAGGCTCCCCTGACAGGTGAGTCTTAACCATTGAAACACTGCAAGGCCCTGACAGGTGAGTCTTACCATTGAAACACTGCGAGGCTCCCCTGACAGGTGAGTCTTAACCATTGAAACACTGGGCTCCCCTGACAGGTGAGTCTTAACCATTGGTGGCTCCTGACAGGTGAGTCTTAACCATTGAAAACACTGCAAGGCTCCCCTGACAGGTGAGTCTTAACCATTGAAACACTGCAAGGCTCCCCTGACAGGTGAGTCTTAACCATTGAAACACTGCGAGGCTCCCCTGACAGGTGAGTCTTAACCATTGAATAATTATTTACTATTTCACAGCCGCTGATCTTTCATAGAAAATTAACTTATCGACGCTGTAATTTCATAATGTTTTCTAGTGGACATTGCCGTAGCGGTCCGACTAATTACCCAAATGTAGCCGCAATGAAGTCAAATAATGGTCCTACAGGAATAAATCGGGTTACTAATCACTTCTCGATTATTATTTGGTGTCATAAAGTAAAAAAAAAATTGGAAAACGTAATTTAATTTGAGTTAATAGGTCGAGTGCCACAACCTAACCTAACCTAACCTAACCTCGACTAGTATTTGGTGTCATAAAGTCACAAAAAATTGGTAAACTTAATTTAATCTGAGTTGTGTTGTGTTAGGTTAGGTTAGGTTAGATTAGATTAGATTAGATTAGATTAGGTACATGCACTTGATCTATTAACTCAGATTAAATTAAGTTTACCAATTTTTTGTGACTTCGTGACACCAAATACTAGTTGAGGTAAGGTTAGGTTAGGCTAGGTTAGGTTAGGTTAGGTTCGGTACATGCACTCGATCTATTAACTCAAATTAAATTACGTTTTCCAATTTTTTTTTTACTTCGTGACACCAAATACTAGTCGAGAAGTGATTAGCAACCCGATTTATTCCTGTAGGACCATTATTTGACTTCATTGCCGCTACATTTGGGTAATTAGTCGGACGGCAGTCATTTAAAAGTTCAACCTAACTTAGCAGGCAGTTATCACACAGGGAGGTGTTGTGTTGTCTAATGCTGCAGTATGTGACCAAGTCCCAGGTTGATGATCTGACTCATTTACACACAATTGTAGGGTCTAAATTGTTTCTCTGACAACACAACACAACACTGCACAATAACTCAACACAGCACAGCACAGCACACAGCACAACACAACTCAGCAGAACACAACAACACACAACACTACATCAACACAACACAGCACACAACACTACAACAACAACACCGCAACACAGCACAGCACACAGCAGAGAAACAGCACAACACAACACCACTACAACAACACCACAACACAGCACAGCAGAACAACACCACAACACAGCACAGCACAGCAGAACAACAACACAGCACAACACAACACAACACAGCACAACACAACACAGCACTACAACAACACCACAACACAGCACAGCAGAACACCACAACACAGCACAGCACAGCAGAACAACAACACAGCACAACACAACAGCACAACACAACACAGCACTACAACAACACCACAACACAGCACAACAGCACACAGCACAACACAACTCAGCAGAACACAACAACACACAACACTACATCAACACAACACAGCACACAACACTACAACAACAACACCGCAACACAGCACAGCACACAGCAGAGAAACAGCACAACACAACACCACTACAACAACACCACAACACAGCACAGCACAGCACAGCACAACACAGCACTACAACAACACCACAACACAACACAGCACAACACAACACAGCACTACAACAACACCACAACACAACACAGCACAGCAGAACAACAACACAACACAACACAGCACAACACAACACAGCACACCACAACACTACAAGAACAACAACACAGTGTACTGTAATGTACTGTACTGTACTGTAGTGTACTGTACTGTACTGTAGTGTACTGTACTGTAGTGTACTGTACTGTAGTGTACTGTACTGTAGTGTACTGTAGTGTACTGTACTTTACTGTACTGTACTGTAGTGTAGTGTACTGTACTGTAGTGTAGTGTACTGTACTGTAGTGTACTGTAGTGTACTGTACTGTAGTGTACTGTACTGTAGTGTACTGTAGTGTACTGTACTTTACTGTAGTGTACTGTACTGTAGTGTAGTGTACTGTAGTGTACTGTACTGTAGTGTAGTGTACTGTAGTGTACTGTACTGTAGTGTACTGTACTGTAGTGTACTGTACTGTACTGTACTGTAATGTAGTGTACTGTACTGTAGTGTACTGTACTGTAGTGTAGTGTACTGTAGTGTAGTGTACTGTACTGTAATGTACTGTACTGTAGTGTACTGTACTGTACTGTAGTGTACTGTACTGTACTGTACTGTAATGTACTGTACTGTACTGTAGTGTACTGTACTGTAATGTACTGTACTGTAATGTAGTGTACTGTACTGTAGTGTACTGTACTGTAATGTAGTGTACTGTACTGTAGTGTACTGTACTGTAGTGTACTGTACTGTACTGTAATGTACTGTACTGTAGTGTACTGTAGTGTACTGTAGTGTACTGTACTGTAGTGTACTGTACTGTACTGTAATGTACTGTACTGTAGTGTACTGTACTGTACTGTACTGTACTGTAGTGTACTGTAGTGTACTGTACTGTACTGTAATGTACTGTACTGTAATGTAATGTAGTGTACTGTACTGTAGTGTACTGTACTGTAGTGTACTGTACTGTACTGTACTGTACTGTACTGTACTGTAGTGTACTGTACTGTAGTGTACTGTACTGCACTGTAGTGTACTGTACTGTAGTGTACTGTACTGTAGTGTACTGTACTGTAGTGTACTGTAGTGTACTGTACTGTAGTGTAGTGTACTGTACTGTAGTGTACTGTACTGTAGTGTACTGTACTGTAGTGTACTGTACTGTAGTGTACTGTAGTGTACTGTACTGTAGTGTACTGTACTGTAGTGTACTGTACTGTACTGTACTGTACTGGGGCCGGGTACTCAAAACACCTCATAAGTTACGTATATTAGCGAGATACAGTACTATATATTGCAGACTCCTCACAGTCCCCTAAATTCAGCATACTCAAAATTTAATTACAGTTCCTTAAGCAGTCCGTAAGTTATCATAACTCCAGTGTTTACCCTGTAAATTCAGTTCTCTTGTCAGAAGGTAGATGACAGTGCAGGAGCTAGTTAGCCAATCAGCGCTCAGTTAACAAAATCATCAACCAATCACAAGAGAAGGAGAAATCAGCTGAGAGTGATGCATGTGATATTAGTTTGTAAACAAAAGATGGAAGGACAACCACCTGAAGAAACGACCAGTGAGACTGAAGTATGCGCCATGGTGTGTGAAGTATGCGCCATGGTGTGTGAAGTATGCGCCATGGTGTGTGAAGTATGCGCCATGGTGTGTGAAGTATGAACCATGGTGTGTGAAGTATGCGCCATGGTGTTTGAAGTATGAGCCATGGTGTGTGAAGTATGCGCCATGGTGTGTGAAGTATGCGCCATGGTGTGTGAAGTATGAACCATGGTGTGTGAAGTATGCGCCATGGTGTTTGAAGTATGCGCCATGGTGTGTGAAGTATGCGCCATGGTGTGTGAAGTATGCGCCATGGTGTGTGAAGTATGCGCCATGGTGTGTGAAGTCGCCAAAAGAAAGAAAATAGTTTTAGGGAAATTTAGCCTAGACCCTGGTGTTTTCCTTTCAATGTTTGGGTCACTTGGACTGAATTGTCTTCAAGTTCATACAAAAAACAACAATTTAAAACCTGAAAATATATCGGATTAGCCGTAAATTTTCTTAAATTAATACTCTACCCTATGATACTGTTCATGAAAAGTCTGGAACTTGACCTAAGGTAGCTGCCAGACAAATTGTCTCACTGACAGCCTGACACTCACCAAAAAAACCATGTACACATTCTCTAACCTAACCTAACATACCATAACATAAAATAACATAACCAAACCTAACTTATAACCTATTGGTATAATTTTTTATTTAAATAATCCTCATGTTCTAACTAAATTGAGTAGGCCCCACGTTTAAACATATATTGGCCTAAGACCGAAGAAGCAGTTATATAGGCCCCTGTTAATCAAGTTAATTGCAATCCATATTTTACTCCTAATATCATTTAATTTTGGCTAACCTATGAAAATTTATAGCCTTTCATGTTATCATAAGCCATATTCATAAGAAAATAGGCTAAGGCTATTGGTTGAATATTAGAAAAACAAGGCGAAGTCTTGGCAGGAATGTTCACTTGACCTCATATTTGGCTTTCATTACTGAGGGATATTTACGGCTATACAACATTAATAAGTTCTATCTGCAAGTTTACTCAGTCATAAAACATATTTTTACCCTAAGTGTGAACAATACAAACCTTCTGTTTTGGTAAAAAATACTCTATAATTTGTAAG